ATCACAATCCATACATACATCAATTGTGTAAAACACATTTGTACATTCATTGCCCTCATCATCCTCAAAACATTTGCTCTCCACTTAAGCCTTTGGCATCAGCTCCTCATTTTTCCTCCTCCCTCCCTGCTTCCCTCTCGCTTATGAACCCTTGATAATTTATAAATTATTATTTTGTCATATCTTACACTGTCTGACATCTGTTATGGTCAATTTTATGTGTCAACTTGGCTAGGTTATGGTGCCCAATTGTTTGGTCTAATATTAGTTGAAGTGTTACTATAAAGGTATTAAGGAGTACCTCTCCTTCCTATTGCGTGTATGCCCCTAGCTCATCCTCTTCTTGTCATGTGTATATGCCTATTGTACAGCCCCTTCCTGTGACGTGGGTGGTTACCTGTAATCAGGGGGGCTTTCATACCCCTAAGTATATATAGGCCTTGGTTAGAAATAAAGAGAGTCCTCCTCCTCCCACTCTGCGCGGACCTGGCTGTTGTGAGATCATGGCTGTCCCGGAGGTGAGTTTGCTACCGTAAAATGTGTCTGACTCCTTCATTTTATTTTCTCTCCTACCTCTCTTATCCTCTATGACTTTACTATGATCTTTATCAATTATCGCTGAACAACTGTGCCTATGAATCCCATGATATTGTTAGGGGCTGGCCTATGCTAACAACACTCATATGTGTAAGAGAACTCTATACCAAGAAGTAATTATGCATCAATAAAACATCCCCGTCTAGTCCAAATCCAGTCCATAAGTTCAATATTAGCCCATAAACCCGATACTATCCCATTGAACTCCTCTTCAAGACTGAAGCAGAACATGCAATGATGCCGAATGCAGAAAGATCACAGGCTGGTGGGTGGAAGGAAAGCCCTGTGGGTCCAGTGGCGGTGGAAGCATCCCCAGGGCTCTGGCTGCCATCGGTGTGGCTCCATCTGGCTTGTCCACAGGAAGGTGAAGCAGAGAGAGAGTGTGTGATCCGTCTCCAGGGAGGAAGAGAGGAAAACTCCCAGAATCCTCATGAGAAAGCCCCGCCCACAAGCAGGCATCAATCAGACAGTGACTCTACCCTGATCATCGACTTATCAAGTCGACATGAAATTATGTAACTACCACAGGCATCTACTAAAAAAAGACACTTGCATTAAAAGACTTCATCAAAAGAGTGAAAAGAGAATCCATGGAGTGCAACAACCTTTTGATAATGACACACTGGACAATGGGGTCATCTCTCAAATCTACAGAAACCTGCACCACTTCAATTAGCAGAAGACAACCCTATTAAAAAGTGGGCAAAGGACATGAACAGACAGTTCATAGGAAGACATGGTCACGATCACTAACCATCCAGGAGATGCAAATCAAAACACCGACAATGACAATCCAGCTCAAAAAAACCCCAGAAAGCAACAAAGGCCTGAGAGGCCGCGGACAGATTGGAACTTCTACTCACTACTGGTGGGACTGTCAATATGTACAACTCCTGTGGAAAAGCTAGATGGCATTACCTCCAACAACTGGGAACAGACATTCCATACAACCCAGCAGTCTCAGTGCTGGGCATGTATCCTGACGAAGAAAGAGTCATAACACGAACAGACATATACACATGCATGCTCATGGAAACACTGTTCCCAATAACAAGAAGATGGGAATGACTTCAATGCTCATCAGCAGAGGAATGAGTAAAGAAACTTTGGTACCTACACACCAAGGAATACTATGCACCACTTGCAAACCAGGATGAAGCCATGTAGCATCTCATGGCATGGCTGGACCTCAGTGAAATCAGCCAATTGCAGTAGGACTAATGATATATGAGACCACTGTTACAAGGGGAGGAACACGAGATAAAGACTTCCTTACCAAAGGGAGCAGACTTTAGAGGTTGCCACGTGGAGGTGTGAACTTGGATGAAATAGAAGGGTAAACTATTGGGGACTCGTAGTTTGCAGTATTGCGTACACAGTTGATGATCTGAACTGTCAGCTGCGGGAGACTGAGAGCCAGGAAGAGAACGGATGCGGACACATTCTCTATGCTCATAGTTGAAGGGATCTGGGAGGCCAAGACTCCCATGGAGGGGGCCTTCACATTTGTGGGTTGGGGATGCATCCCAGTCACATTCTCCTAAGTAAAAGTCATTCCCCACAATGTGCCCCCCTGGGTGCTGCTCACAATCCCATGGTTCCTTACAATACTCTTGAAGGTTCACCGCTTGAAGGCATCTGCCTGAAGGATGTCTGCCATCAAAAGCAATTAGACCATCTCACCCTCAGTAGGGCCCTCTCCCTTCTAATAAGGATCATAGATTGTTCCCTTGGAGAAGAGCTCAGGGACACCTAA